CATAGCAGGAAACAGAGCTCATTAAAAACCTTTATTCCAAAATTAAATATCGCAGAGTACATTTTTCCAGAATGACAAATAGGTCTCATTGTGCATTGCAAATAAACAAACTAATGAACAAATAACCAAAAACTGAGTGTGCAGGTAACTTGCACCTCAGCTACCTCAACAGGCTGAGAGCTTGATGTCCACAATCTGTGCTATACATCACCAACAACAGATTAAGACATTCCATCTCTTGTATATTAAGTAGGAATTTCAGCTTCCAGCCAATTACCAAGAGAGTAGTCTGGCCTAAGGGATTCTGTTTCCTATCAGCTTCAAATTAAGAAAAAAAGGGAAGAGCATCTCAACCTCCTAAGTAAGACATCCTCAGGCTACTGAATTAGATACTGAGACTTTCAGAATATAGCTAGCTATACGTTGAGAGGAAGTAAAAAACCATAAACCTGAAAATTCAATTTCTTAAGCTGGGAACAGGAGTACACTCTCTGAAAGCTTATCCTGCAGACACTACCCCAAACAAAGCTGCTGAAGCCTCAACTACAGTGATGATCATGATACTGCGCTTTTTAGAAAAAAACTCTTGAGACCTTACCTTACCCATTCCTTACTCCAGGCACCCAAAGCCAGCTCAGCAGAAGGGTAAATCCCAACCCTCAGGAAACTAGCTACAAGGACTCCAGTTCTACCCTTGGTGTCTTCCAGACATGACTGAGTACAATTTTCACCATGATTAACTTCCAGGAATGCCAGCCAGAGAAGCAGCCAGGAGAAAAGAACATGAGTAGCTATTTCCCCCTCAATGTCAGCTGGACTCTTTGGAACAACGGCAGACACTGTCTCTTTCTCTCTGCTGGGCAGAATAATATTCAGCAATCTCAGGGGAGTGCCTAACAGCCCAGTAATAGAGCCATACCATATTTTGCAAAGATGCCTACTTTGATCATCTTATTTGAAGCTTCAACCTCCCACTTATCTCCTCCTCCATACTCCCAAATCCTCTCACACTGCTGTATTTTCCCTTCACAGCATTTATCCATATAACTACTTATTACAATTATTTCTATCTCCTTCAGTTAAGAGATCCATGAAGCTAGAGGAGGGGGATAACAATAATACTTCACGTATAGTAGGAATCTAATAAATATTTATGAGGTGAAAGAAAAAGTTAAGAAAAACTAAAAAGACCTGCCAGAGGTCGACAATACCCAAGGGGTCCAGCATTGCTTATATTCTTCTAACAGAACCAGTCTGGTCCCCAACTGACTTACATTGCCTCCACCCACTATTTATGACCCTTCCTTCTTCCCCGAGTCTTCCATCAGCCAGGAAATATGGAAGCACAGCATTGCTGTAGGCAGTAAAGTAATGCAAGTAAATGAATGCTTGTCCTTGAGTATGAAGGATTTCTCCAGGCTTTCACTGTCTGTCCGTTCCAAGTATATTCAGTTTGTGATAAAAATGCATTAAATGGAAGTTATCTTAGCATAAAAGGAGAACTGAAGAAAAGAAAAAAAACACAAGAAGTTTCTACTTTCAAAAATCAAATTCCAGAGGCCTCCCTAGTGGCCTAGGGGTTAAGCCCAGTGTTAGCATCGCCATGGCCTGAGTTCAACCCCAGGCCAGGGAGTTAACCCACATGTAGAACAGCAGACCTCTCCTATCTCACCCCGCCGCTCCCCACAGCAGTGTATTTCAGTAGATCTGCCTGTTCTGCTTCCTCTGTCTCTGGTGAATTCTCTCTCTCTCTCTCTCTCTCTCTCTCACACACACACACACACACACACACACACCCGCACCTCTGGGCTGCATTCCGCTTCTCCTTTGTAAAAATAAATCTTAAAAAACAAATCTTAAAAAAAAAAAGAACACAATGGAACCCTTCTAAAAAAAATCAAATTCCAATTCAATTCAGCAAACATTAATTAACTGTAAGTTATATACAAAGCAAAAGGTTAAAAGCCATAGGGAATAGTGTGGACACAGGTCTCATACAGTATGGAATGAGAGAAAAAATATATATACACACACACAAATAATACAGAATATATATACATACACACACAAATAAATGTGATAAATGAGGAAAAAATAAATATACACACCCAAATAGTGTGATAAAATGTTGTAACAGGGATCCTAGCAAAAAGAGAGATAGAGATACTTCAATTCTAGAGACAGGTGAGTGGGAAGAAGAGGATTAAGCAAGGCTTCAGGAAGAAACTTTTTGCTAGGTTGAATGAAGGGTTGGATTTGGAGTTGAATGTCTTGGAGCAGGGAGAGAAGGGCATTCCAACAGAAAAGAAAAAAGATACTGAGACTGAAAAAGGCAGACTAAATTGAAGGAACAGTTGTAAAAAGGGCAAGACATAAATAAAATAAGGTTGAGGAAGGCTAGGGTTGGTCAAGATAAAGAGGACCTTAAGTTCTAGCCTATGTAGGCAATAAAGAGCAATGAAAGGTTTTTCAGCAAGAAGAGATATGATCAGAACTACACTGTAAAGTCTACATTGGGGGTTTTTTGTTATATACGCTTCTACAATAAAATTCTTTCCTTTCAGAGCACTTCAGTTCATAACTATAAATTTATTACTTACTAGTCTCCTCCCCCACTACATTATAAGACCAAAAGGAGAAGGACCATGTCTGACCTGGCACGTAAGTGCTCAATAAACATCAGTGAAACAAAAAAATAAAAATCATAATATTGTGGGCCTCCCCTGATGGCACAGCGGTTGAGCACTGGGCTGCGAAGCTGCCCACAGCCTCTGCAGCGCCGGTTCAATCCCCAGCCGCGGCGAGGGTCCCACATGGTGCGACAGACCTCTCCTGCCGCCCGCTGCTCCCCTCAGCAGTGTATTTCGTCGGTCTGCCTGTTCTGTTCCCCACTCTGACTCTGGTGAATTCTCTCACCCTCCCACACTTCTGACTGTACCTCATGCTTGTATAAATAAATAAATAAATAAATCTTTTTAAAAAATTATAATATTGCAGTAGTCTGTAGTATGGAATATAGAAAGAGGCATTAACCATCGGGTTATTGTAATAAAAGATGAAGGTGTGAATTAGAGTAGGCAAAAAAGTGAAGCTACATGGCAAGGTATCTAGAATGGTCCAAATTTAGTGAATGATTAGATGACATGTGGAGGAAGAAAAAACAACCAAATATCAGTCTAAAGTTTTGAGCCACAGGAACTATATTTAAGACAGAAGAGATGAGGCAGCTTTCAGAAATGAACTGGAGGTACACTGGAACACAGATGCCAAGTTGAAAGTTCTCCCCTCCCCATATACCTTTCAATTCACATACCCCATAAACTTTATAATTCTAATTTCTCTTCCTATTGTTTCATTTCTGATACCATTCTTTAAGATTACTGTAGGGCCTCCCCAGTGGCGCAGCGGTTGAGCATTGGGTTGCGAAGCTGCCCGCAGCCTCTGCGGCGCCGTTTGACCCCCAGCTGCTCCCCGGCCACTGGGCCACTGGAGGAGGGTCCCGCATGGCCCCGCAGACCTCTCCTGCTACCCGCTGCTCCCCTCAGCAGTGTACTTCGGTCCTTCTGCCTGCTCTGCTTCCCGCTCTGGCTCTGGTGAATTCTCTCACCCTCCTGTACTTCTGACTATACCCAGTGCTTATATAAATAAATAAATAAATCTAAATAAATAAACAAATAAATAAAATTTTAAAAAAATAAAAGGGAAAAGCACTACAGCAATCCCAAATCATCATATAAAAAAAAAGATTACTGTAGAAGCATCAGTTCCAAAATATATTGCTGAATTTCACACCAAACTTCAGAATTTATAATTATTCTTGAACATCCACTTCTCATATGAATATAAAGTTGGTCCCAACCAACTTCAAAGTACTCCACCTAAAAATATTGTAGGTAACATACCAAAAGCCCACTGGCTATACTTAATACATAAAAAAGAACAGACAATTCTGCCTTCTACAACTCCTGAACAACAGCCCAAGAAACTACAAGTACCAGCATGCATGTGTTACCAGCACACGTGTTACCAGCATGCATGTGTTACCAGCATGCAATGTGGCCTGTCAGGATCTGTATTAATTCAGTGTGGTTGCTTTCCAAGCATGGCACCTCCTCTGGCCAGTCTCCAATTCAATACCCTATGCTTCAACTGACACACAGACACAAGCAAAACTATGCACAAAAAAAATTTGTATTTCTACAATAAATTTTTCTAAATCTCACATTCAAGTGGAATACTTCCAAATTAACCTTTAGATTACCTGAAAATAAGTAAAGTGCTACAGATGGCCAGGAATAAAGCAAAGCACGCCCAGGACTTTTTTGAGTCCAAAACAAACAATAGTTCTGCTCACCAAATTTTTGTATTACAGATTGATGGGTGTTTTAAGTACAAATTTCAAAACAGTGAATACTGCCTCTAATGCTTAAAGGTATTTGAAACCTGAGCTTTTGCTATATTAACCAAAAAAAGAAAGACTAAAAGACCACCATCCTCTTAATATTCAATAAATAGCTGCTACTAAAAGTCCCAAGTGAAAGAATTAACTGGGAAAGGTTGATAAAAATCCTAACTTGGAGAATTAACAATTTGTTTATGCAATTTTATTCCCCAAAACTGCTTAAAAGCAAGGATTTTGTGATATTAGCATCAATTTCAAAGCTCTGACAGTCACCCACCAATTTCAATTTCATCCCTTTTAGAGGGTATTTCAGATATTCCCCCGTTAGTCATATTTCACCAAATAACAATTTTATTTCCCAAACAAAACACAGTGGGCAACTCATATTTGATATCAAGAAGTTAATTCACAGCAGGGGTTCCTGTGACTGCCCCCAAACTGAAAACTGTTCACCCCACTTCCAGCCCCAACTGGTTCAAAGATTTCAGATATAAGTGATTTAAAAATCTTAGATCCCTAACTATACAAAATTATTTCTTATTAATAATCTTTAAAAATCTTAGATCCTGAAATTCACAAAATTATTTCTTATTAATACCTGGCAAATCCTTCCAGGTGTGACTGCCTTCTTACAAATTTTCCTTTCTGAAGCTTTCTGATTCCACTCCTGTGGCTTGAGCAGACTAAAAAAGAAATACATTTGACAAGCTGGTGAACCTGCAGAATGAGGGTACAGGACTCTCCAAAAGAAAATGGCCTAGTAAAAAAAGCACAGCATAAGCTTTACAAACACATCAAAGAGGAATGAGAGTCAAGCCCCAGGGAACTAAGGCTGCACTCATTAGCCCTACTGAATACTGACTATATTTTTCACACAGTAATAAAAAAAAAAAACTCACTTTTTTCAATCATTTTTGTCCTGTTTTTCCATCACATTCTTGATGTCATAAAGTGCCATAGTTAAATGGAACCTCTGAGATGATCTTGTCTAATGTACTCATTTTACAGATAAGTGAAAACAGGAATGACCAGCACAAGGTCACACAGCCAGTTAGAGGCATGTTAGTAGTGATCAGAACCTGGGTTTTAGGACCCCTCATTCTATGCCTTTTCACTCTACACCTTGAAAAGCCACATTAGCAAGGAAAACATACGACACTACTAAATCAGACAATAACTTCAGTGTAACTAAGCCACACAAAAATACAATTCATCCACATAAAGAGAACAAAGGGTTAGAACAGGAAGTACCCAAATCAAACTGAAAGCAGCAGCATTTGTTCATACAATATACAGGTTTCTTAAGGGCACAACTTTGCACTTATTTTCCAAGCCACCTTATTAATTACCACTTGCTCAGATACATGTGTATCCTGTACTTCATCAAATGAACCTCCTTAAAAGGATGCCACAATGACCCTAGTGGCAAAGGTTGAAAATGGTAGCATCTGACACAGAAAACTGATGGTACAAAAGCTGTGTTAACAACCAAGAAGAAAGGAATGAAGCTGAAGGAGAGACGATATTACTGGGAACAAGTTATGGGGTAAGAATAAAAATCCAAGAGAGAAAGTTGGCCAGACACTAATGACCAGAGAGCGTAATAAAAAGAAGGCAGTTTCAGAGCTTGCCTGGCATCAGACGGCTCTCACCTGCACAAGAAAAGAAAAAATGCTCACAGAGACAAGAGAAATAGCCTAGGCTTGCCCCTGAGTGATGGACTAGATATGACCTAATGGGTATCTGCCACCCCTTATTTCTAGGACTCTGATCCAAGAACAAACAGCAAGAGAACCATGAAAAATCAGCCCTGTTGGATCTGGAGTTCTGCCTTGACAAGATATAAAGCTCATTCACAGATCTGACTGTGCTCATGAGGCTGCAGTTCAACTCCTGCTGCTTGAGCAAAGGGAGGGGAAAGGAAGATAGAAAGGGGTGAGTGGGAAGGAGGTGGTAGATCTGGGTTGTGACTATAATAGCTACAGTAATTAGAGTGTTTCCAAGCTGCTAGAGAAGTCTTCAGAGCAGAGAAGCAGGATGAGAGATGGGGGAGGGGGAAAGCAAGAGGAAGCAAACTACTGAGAAAGCTAAGAAAGTATATGGTAGTCTGTGGACAGTTAAAACAAACTGTGATGGCCTCATAAGGGGAAATAAGTTAATATTCTTTCCTAGAAGTATTATGCAAAAACTGCTATCACTGGGCTCCTACTTAAACCTATGTTATAAACCAGGTTTGAGCAGATTCTCTGGCTCTGACCGCAGAACCTCCAAGTTTTTCTCTAAAACTCTCATTCTAACAGGTCGGTGCCTTCACTCTACCTGGAGTCAGGGAAAAAGGGATTTCTGAACTTTAAAATAGTTAATATTACCTATTTCCTTTCAATCAACTGTTAATCAATACCCTGTGAATTCAATTAGATTGTGACTGTGTGTACATGGCTCAACAGAAGTAGCAGCACGGTCAGCTGGCCTAATACACAAAGTAAGTGACTTGAGGGCTCTAAAAATGTCAGAATCTGCGACACTATCTACTGGCTGAACATATGAAAGCAAAGTAAAATACTCAGAAGATGATGATAACGTTTAAGGAAAATCTGGAAATTTATTTTTTAAAAACTCAAAATAGAAATTCCTTCTCCAAGTTGTAGGAAACGCTGTACTTATTTTTAAGATAAATATTTAGTTGTGCTATTTCCTTAACATGATTTGGCCCTCTGGTAATGATCTGACTCTAACAAGTCATAGCCAGAAAAAAAAGCTATAAAGGTGCTGGGAGAAACTAAAAATGGAATAAAACAAACAACTGAAGAGATGCAAACTTCATGTGGAGAATTACATTTGTAAAGTAAAAACACATGCAAATTTTGAGCTAGGCATGCCAGGTAGACTTAACACAAAATGTCAATTACATCCTCTGCATAAAACCTGCTGGGTATCCTCCCAATGGACTGAATCTTTTTCACCACACTCAGAGAATTTTCTCCTTCCCATTTCCCCCTAATAAACAAGTACTAGAAACACTGAATTACCACTATTTCCTACCCATTCATAGGGCATAAAGCCAGAAATCACAGAAATACAATAGGGCCATCTAGGACCATGTCTAAGGCATGCTACTTAGTAATCTAAAAGAAAAATAGAGAAAGAATCTCTTTTCTCTATTCTATTATCGTCTCACCAACAAACCAGCATCAGGCATTAAGAAATGTGAAACAAAGAGCAATTTCACACATATGAACTGAACCTAAACCACGGAAGACCAAGTATTTTCTTGTCACTGTGGCATGTGATTCTTTAACCACCTGCTCAATAATCCCTCTTCAGCTGCACAGCTGCTGCCAATTCTACATGCCCAGCTAGGCAGGTGCTTTGGTGAATTACCTGTTCCCTAGTGAAAAGAGTCCTTCACTGACACTCAGAGAGCCCAGAACCTGCCAATCAGCACCACCTATCTTCATTTTGTTTGTCATGTCAACTTTCAGAAGCAGTATCATAAAGGCATATTTAACACACTATGTGATCTCGGGTGGGGGGGAGGGGAGTCGTTGGGTTTTCTTTTTAAGGAAAAATATTTTTTAAAAAATCAACTAGATGTGAGAATTCAGCTGCTGAAAAGAAAAATTGCCACATATCATAAGGCTGCTCTATCTCAGGGTGGCCCCATCTGCCTGGTAGTATTCCCATCTATGCTGGGGTACTCACAAGGGAAATAACAATTGCTTAGTTACCTTTGGAGCAGGAGAAAGTGGCAGTAGAAGGTGCTATGGTAGTTGGCGGTAATGAGAGTGAGTAGAATGAGAACTTCTGGAGACCACACACATCATTCTTGTACCTTAGTCTCCATAGCTGAGCCCAGGCAACAGTGATCCCAGTCAAATAAATAAGGAGTGGCACTTCCACTTGACACAGCAATCAGTAAACCCCTCAACAAATTATCCTGTTCCAGTCTTTTAGTTGCTATATGCTAATTGCAACATAATTACTACCAGGAGCCAGAATTATGCTTCCATATACTCACAGAAAATAAGCACTAATCTGTCCAGCTATCTAGACCTCTCACAAGAAAACATTTTCTACCAAGAAACTGAAGGGTGGAGGTGAGGGTGGAATCCAAAGTGCTCTCTGAAAGATGCTCACAATCAAAAGACTCATTGTGGCAAGGGCTCAACTGTGAAACCACTAAATCTAATCAGGGCAAATTTAATCTGAGGCTTCTGCCTTCACTGTCACCTGACAGGATTCCGAAATAAATGCCAACAGTCCAAGAGTAAAAATGCTTTGGACTCAGTTTAGCTGAGGCTTCACTCAAGAGACACTGGCAGTAGTCTAAAAACAGACAACACCTCTAGTATGGCCTTAAGACAGTTCTGTCACCAGGAAACATAAGGTCAAAACAACCTAGTCCCTTCCTAACAAAGCCCAACATCTAAGTTACCATCCATCACTTTAGGAAACTCACTGAAACAGAGATGAGGCTGGCAACCTAATCACACTCAGCATGCTGACCAAAACCAGTGGCTAAAGTTCCTATTCAATAATACTCTGTAAGAGATGGGTGGCTACTGGTACGCAGTGTATTGCAACAACTGCTCTTTCACAATGAATTTGATTTTAATCTCTTTTGAAATTTTTCCTTAATGTCATAAATGGAAACCCCGTTTCTTGCCCCAAATAATTTACCCAACTAATAACGCCCAGTGTTATTTGGGCACTTCTATCTGAAACACACACACATACACACACACACACACACAGTTCCTTCTAGCTTGTGCTCATCCCTGTCTCATTAATAACCTCCAAGACCTCGAACGATTTCTTAAATGTTCACCTCTTTGGCAAAATTTCTCCTTTATACAGAGGCAGAGATGGACTTTCTGCACAATGAGCAAGGCATCTCCTTTCACCAGAATTAAAGACTAAAAGGAACATTGTTTTGTTTTTCCATAGTCCATGTCCACATAGGCATATTCCGTGGGTTTCTGGTTGCGCAATTAATGCTGACCAGGAAGTGACCATTAAAAAGGTCTTGGTCCTTGATTCCCTGTGTTAATCCTGCACAGGTTTTCAGCAGTAACCCTAAACAAAAATCACTGTATGAGTGCCCCATCTCTATAAAAGAATTAAATATGATGGTTCAAACAAGAGTAGAAACCTCTTCTTGGAGTCTTCCTTCAAGTCTGACACAAACATCAGGGTTGAGCTCAGGCACTATTCCTCCACAACTTAGCACAGGCTAGCAAAAGGGGCAGGCACAACATGGCTGGCATCCCCTATTCTTCTGAAAAAATGTGTGCCAATGAGCTCTGCATTGTTCCTCACTCAAAAAGAAGAGCCTTTCTGTCTGGCCTCCTCCAATGGCAAGCCACAGTCTGGAAAAGGAAGAAAATGGCACTGAGGAGCCTGGGAGATGGAGCATATCCAAAGCTCTCAGACAAGACTTGAACCTATGACCTTCACTGTGTACACAATAGGCGGGTGAGAGGGACCGGTTTTATCTCTGCAGCAGCAGTTCTCAGCCCTGGGGTAGCACTCCCGATAAAATGACATGACTATTGTGTGTGGCAGCAGAACAGTCATCTCCTCACAACAGCCTAAACCAGCACTCCCTCCCCCAAGACAAAGCAGCAGGGGTGAAATTAACTCAAGGCTACAGAGCAAAGCCTAATACAGAAAAGAGAGGCCTGTAGGGGATTGGGGACTCTCCTCAACCCCTGGGGCTCTGGACACATGGCTGGGAACAGACAGGCTTTCTCCCCCATCTTTCCTACTCTCATTTAGGTAGGAAGCTGTTTCTCAGAGAATTTAATCATCTGTGATTTGTTCAGAAATATTCCCCCTGAAGGGCTCTGCTCTCTCCACCCTGTGTGAGCCTAATTCCTAGAAGCTGAAATGACTGTTTGCTGCTGCCTGTTTCACAAACACACATTAATTGGTCAGATGTGTCTCCTCCTCCTCAACCTCAGAGGGAGGAAGGAGAATCTGAGCAAAGCACAGAGATGATCCAACCGTAATTACACATAAAGGGAAAAGAGGGCAGCATGGGTTTTCCAAACAGGACAGGGTCACCAGCCCTCCCGGGGGTACAAGGTTAGCAGTTAAGAGCCAGGCTTCGGGATCCCTCCATCTTGAAGAAAAGGACAGGAGTAAATGTGACCTGAGCCTGAGGGAGCACACACCCACAACCTACTTACTGCACGCTCCCAGCCCCCGTGCTCCCCCTCCCGGGCCGCGCTCACGTCCTGCTCCCAACCCTCCGCTCCGAGCCCCCCCAACTCCCTAACTAGCCCCCGTCCCCCCTGGCCCCCTCAAGATACCCAGACTCGGCTCTGAAACTCTCTGGCCTGTCCCCACAACCTCGCCAGACCCTAATCCCTCCTTGGGCGCCCCTACCCTCAGCCTGAACCGGCCCGGCCACGCTTTGAACTTCACCCCGCGCCCCTCGACGCCCCCTCCCCCACCCACGCAACGACCCCCCCTCCCCCCACACACACCTTCCCCTCGCTCCGCCCCGGCCCCCCAACCCCACTTCCTCCGTCAGGCGCCGCTGCCCCCGGCCGCCTCAGCCCCGCGCCCCTCCGCGCCGCCGCCTCTCTCCTCCCCAGTCCCGGCTCCACACAAAGCTCCGGACTCACCGCGCGGCCGGTCCCGGGAGCCGCCACCTCCGCCCGCCCGGGGCCCCGGCCGTAGAGCCGCCGCTGCTACGGGGCCCAGGCCGCCATCCGTTCCCGCGGCCCCTCCCCCACCCCACCCCGCCTCGGCTCCGGCTCTCCGCCCCCTCCCCGCGCCGCTCCGCCCCGCCCGGCCGGTGCCGCTGTGTCCGGGGCCGCGGGTCCCTCAGCCGCCGCCGCCGCCGCCGCGATCCGGGACAACCAGGGCTGCCCGGAAGACCCGGACACCGGATTACCGGACCCACGGATCCGGATTCCGGGCTGGTGTCTGGGGCGGCCGAGCGTTGGGGAAACCCGGAACCTGGATGTGGGAGCTAAATCCTGGGTCTTGGAATGCGCGGTCACACGAAGCCCGGATTAGAGAGTAGCTCTGGGAATGCTGGAAAACCCGGCGAGCCGTTTAAAACAGAGATAAACTCGAAGAAACCTGGATCGGAGAGCTCGAACCTAACGCTCTCTCCTCGTGGAAAGAACTCTCGCTGGGCCAGACTTCCCCGCAGAGAGGTCTCTGGGTAAGTATCGTGCCTTAAATACAGAAGACACCAGTTCTGAAGGTGTCCTTCAAACGTGGACCGAGAAAAGAGCCACAAGGGGTCTGCCCGTGAACATCTACAAAGAACAGAAGAGCAAGCATAGCTCATGTTGGTTTCATCCATTTTACCCCTTGATTCAACAGTGTCGACCCTCTAATTTTTTATCCTTTGTTCTCCACCTTTTTTTTTTTTTTAGGATTACTTTTCTCTCCAAAGTAACCATTCCTAATCATTCTATTTCCCTTTTCACCTATCCTCTATCACCAAATTTTCTTGCTTTATCTAAAAGTACTATTCTGTACTTCAACCCACCATTCTAAGGGTTGTAACTTTTATCTTTCCTTATTTACTATTCATCTCTGATTGCCCAGCACACTATCTAGTACACAGTAGGCATTCTCATTCATGTTTAAGTGAACCTTCCCACCCACCTCTCATCTGTAAAACTTACTGTACTTTTCATGACCTCCTCCCTAAGACTTCCACCTCCATCCTTGACAAACAGAAATTTATCTAATTCTTCAGGCTCCCCACATCTTAGCTCTTATTATCCCCTTCCTAAGCTGACCATCTCAGTCAGTTCTGCAATTTTTTATCGTTCCTTTCTTTTTGTCATGAAGAATCATTCAATAGTGCCACTCAAGGGGCCTCCCTGGTGGCGCAGGAGTTAAAGACACAGCCCTAATGAGCTACCACTGCGACATGAGGTCCATCCTCCATTCCCTGATCCCAGGTCAGGGAGCTAACCCACATGGCCCAGCAGACCTCTCCTGTCTGGCCCGATGCTCCCCTCAGCAGTGTATTTCAGTCAGTCTGACTGTTCTGCTCCCCAATCTGTCTCTGGTGAATCCTCTCACACACACCCCACCCCACCTTTGGTCTACACCCCAGTTCTTGTATGCATAAATAAATCTTTTTTAAAAAATAGTGCCACTCAAGATAGTGACTTGGAGATAGAACCAGGTCATAATCTCCCTTTAGTCCACCAATATTTAACTTGTTCTAGGCTAATACAAGGACAGAACTTATCCCAGGTGACAGCAAACTCTGTTTGTAATAGATAATGTGACTAAGTCAGAATTCAGCAGCTAAGCCAGCAGAGAAAGAGTAGGGTTTATGCTTAGGTGTGAATTAAGAGTTAATATTCAAGTAGTCATCTCCCACTGAAGAGTTTAACTCTACTATTAGACAGGCCTTGGCAGCAAAAAAAGGAAACAAAATTAAAATTCCTAGAGTGAGCCCTAATTTTTAGCCTGAGAAAGTTCTCAAACCTGAAAGAACCACTAATTATTTTTAAATAATCAATGTCCTGTACAGAGAAGAAT